AAGAAAACACAACCCTTGTTATGTGGCATTTCGAGAGCCAAGCTTCTATTTGGGTTCAACAGAAGAGCAGAGCTCTTCCAAGTGTATAGTCTTGATAAAAGCTTCAAGAGACTTTGCTAAGTTAAAAAAAAAAAGTCCAGGAAAGTTGTGCCGGGAGTTTGAAAATCCTTATAAATGATTTTAAAAAGTTACAGAATTTCCAGCTTAAGAACAACTGAACTTATTTAATAGGAAAAAAACTAAGAATAAAGCATGTTCAAGTTATTTTTTATTATGGTTTATTAATATTCTTTTCAGGCTAACCTAGTTTTAGGGTTCATCCAGCAATTGAAAAGAATTAGGTCACTTCTACAATGGCAAATTTCATCAAATAAAGCACTTGCTTTAGAAAACTAACCCCAAAAATGTTCCTGTCTACATGTATCTGAACATTCTAAAACCTAACAAGCAAAGTCCTGAAAACCCAAATCTGGGTATGGGGAAATCAAGTGGCTTCAGTGACTTTGTTTTTTACAGTCAAAAACCTTACTTCACCAACAAATATTTCCAAAATGGAAAATTTGGTTTCAATTATCATCGTTGAAATGCACATCTGCTTCAGGCAGCAGTGATGCCCAAAATTTACTACAAGTTTCTATCCATGACTACTCGTAGTGGGAGAGGACTCAAGGAATGCTGTGGGAAGAGAGAAAAGACAAGGGTATTCAATACTTGCCTCTTCTCTGGCGGGGGGTCTTGCTAGTATCTTACCTGGCAATGCCAGTCTCAGCATTTAAAGAATTATCAGCTAAGTCATGTCTTCTCAAAAAATATGATCTGTTCGTGGATCAAGGGTGAAAAAATCTCTTCTGGTTCTGAAGTTCCCTGAGAAGGAGCAGGCTCTCTTTCATAAGGATGAGCCGTTCTCCTGCGAATTGCTCCCACAAATTCATGGCATACTGCTGGGTGCATGGTGCCCCTCTCAAGCAGGTACACACCAGTGCTTCTGATGAAGAAAACCACAATTTTAGGAAAAATGGACAACTAGTTTCCCCTTTGTGTTATGCCTCTTCCGAAAGTTGTTCTCTGTAAATCTTGCAGATATATCAGACACTGAGCCTGGAAAAAAATTTTTTTTGAAGATTTTATTTTTAAGTAATCTCTACATCCAACGTGGGGCTCAAACTCACAACCCTGAGATCAAGAATTACATGCTTTATCAACTGAGCCAGCCAGACATCCCTGGAAAAAATTTTTTTAAACTGTAACAATATACACAACATGAAATTTTCATTTTAACCACTTTTAAGGATACAGTTCAGTGACATTAAATACATTCATGTTGTTGTGCAACCATCACCAACACATACGTTTCCAGAGTATAACAAGGCTGATCAGCCCACAAGACTGATTTCCAGAACTGAAATAAAATCCTAAGAGCAAGAGCAACTGCCATTTTCAATGTCTATCTGCTCTACAAGCACACATACCCATACATACACACAATTTATCACTGTAGTAGTTGAAAGCCAGAGACCCTTTCCCTTCATAAAACAGAATGCAGAGTCATCTTCCTGTGACTGATCAAGAAACAGTGATTCTTCACAAAGGGAGATGGGAATCTCAGCATCAGCAGGTCCCTTAGGGAGCTGGAGAGCTTGGGAGATACAGCAAAGGTGTGTGCAAACTCATATGTTCTTCTTGAGATTTTGACTGAACACAAGTGTATCTGGTTCATAGTTCCAAACCACTAAAGGCATCCAGATGCCACAGGAAGTCTATAAAAAGGAGGATTAAGGTAGGTGTTGGTGAAAACTAGCAGAGGAAATGCCAAGCCCCGTGTGGTATCTCACTATGAGGAGATGGATGGTTCAGGTAGAAGAGAAGGATCCTGATAAGCTCTCCCCAGTTTTCTCATGGGGAAAGTCCCACATAGGCTGCTTTAGATGATAAACATAGAAAGTCCTTAAAACAAGCTTTGGTTAGTATCCCAGCACGAGTCATGGGGTACACCAGGGCAATAGATGAACACCAAAGATAAAACAACGACTATTTACCTAGTACCTAGTCTGTGCCACAGACATTTTACTAGATGCTTTATATATATATTACCTCATTTGATCCTCACAAAAACTCTATGAGGTACAGATACTGTTATTACTCCCTTTATACCAAAAAGAAAAATTATCTATGACTAAATGTGACACACTCAAGGTCACACAGTTCATAAAGGAGATTCACTGCAAGGCCTGTGTTAAATCCCAGGCTTTCAATTAATAGCCTTTTAAGGGAGAAGTTATTTTCATAACCTCATGGCAAAGAAAGAAAATTGTTCAGTAGAAATCTCTTGGCTGAAAAAATCTTAATGCTTAAAAACAGCCAATTAAGCTTCAGCAGGTTAAGTGCGGAACAAGCACACATTCAGGATTCCTCCAGTTGCTGGAGGTTTGACATGTGATCCTAGGCTAGTCACTCAGCTTCTCCAACCCTGGCTTTCCCAGGGAACTTGTAAAACCAGGCTACTTCCCCTGTTCTCGGCCTACAAAAGCATTCCATAGGGTCAATGACCCGTGCTGAGATAATAAGGCCGATAGCCAAAGATGAACCTATTGGCCAAAGGTTTCAATCTCTTCTCTCACCAAGTTTCCTCTTAGTTATCACTGCTTCCCACAAAAGTTATCAGTTCATCACCAAACAATTAGGCAGCACCTACTATGCATGCAGCCACACAGCGATGAGTGAGGAGTGTTCAGAGTGGCACCATCCTTACCCCCTGAAGACATGTCTCTGAGTCTGGGGGCTTGTAAGACACATGAAACAAAAGCACAAAAAGATCTGGTGGGTGGGCCTATTATTCCATATCCAACTATGGACACAAACCTGAGGTACTGGAATTCAGAAGAACATCACCCGGGACTAGAAAAGCTGAGGTTTCCAACACAAAATAGGAATTTAAAACAGCCTTGTTAGATGGATAACTTTAGGAAAAGAAGATGGGAAAAGGCATTCCAGGCAAAAGGAACTCCAGGAGCTAAGGATCTGGGGCTGGATGGAGCAGTATACAGGATGTATGGTCACAAAACAGACCAAAAGATTGCTTGGTGGGGGTATGGGTAAGCAGAGTGAATGCAGACTGAGCCAGATTTCAGAGGACTTGAATGCCTGACATGGTGAGCTGGACGTGAAGTGGAAACAAACGGTAGTGAGCTGGGTGACATGGTGAACCTTGGAAGCTGCTCAATTTGTATTTCTTGACTACTCTCTGCCTCCAGTAGGGGAAAGACAAAAGAACATGTGCAAAAAGCAGGTGTTATAAAGCCCAGGACATCAGCCTTCCCAGCAGAGAGGCACCAGAGCATCGAAGAACAAGAGATCTCCTAGAGGGCAAAGACTCATTACATTTCTAAAAACAGAAGATGCCCAAAAATGCTCAGGAAGCTGTACCCTGATCAGCTACTGCTAGTCTCACAAGGACCTTTCAGCCCCCACACACCACCAGTCAAGTAAATGAGCCTGATCCAGAACCTCTAAACCACGATTCACCTCGCCCCTGCCCTTCTACTAACTATCACACCAACAGAAGGTGAGGACACTACCCACCTCTGCTCCCAGCCTAGGAAACAGGCCTCCGGATGCTCTCTTGCCCAGCAGGCCACACAGAGTCCAACACTAAGCCCCTGTTGCAAAAACTGCTGAGGGAGAAGCTGCATCAGCAGCACACTCAGACCAAAAAGTCCCAGACTCTTCCTGCGGGAGTCACAGGGAGAAATGCAGTCCCTGGGGCCTCTTCAGACAGGAAGACACCCAACAATCATGCCAATTTTAACAGGGTCTAGAGATGTTTAATGGCATCATTCTGCCCCATGAGATGCACCAGTGGAGACAATACGTGCAAAAGAAAGTGTTTATTGAGGTACAAACCAGGGCTGAGTTAGATGAACCTGTTACCATTCAACCAGCCAGTTATCATCTGCATCAAACCTGCAACTCAAAGCAGCACTCCCCCCACCCCCCCGCAATGGTGCACTGCCACACCTCACCCCTCCCTGCCTAATGCTCCCTGCCTAATGCTCCATGCTGTCTCCTCATCTCAGGAAAAATGGCAAGCCTTGTTCTCTACCAGCCGCAGACCCACAGAACCAAAAAGCTGACACAACAGGAGGAGACGTTTTAGCACAGAAGAATGACCCACCCCGGCACTGCATAGAGTACCTCTGAAATAAAAGAATCAGATCCTCAGATAATAGTTTAAAATGCATATACGCATGTGCCTGCCAGAAAATAAACTCTCACTAGTTATATCCAGCTCAACAGAGGTACTTAAATTCCCTTCTGTTTATTCCTATTTCATAAGGGACCCCTGATGGACAGAGCAAGAGTTCCTCTAAAGCACATACCTTCCAGTATCATTCAAAAACTTTTCAATGAAAATGAACATCAGTTCAGACCAAGTATCATCTGAAGGGTTTCTCTCCTTCTTATTTGAACTTGTGTGTGCATATAGGCACACGCGCGCACACATACACACACACACACACACACACACACACACACACACACACACACCTTTTTAGAATAGACATGAGCGTGGTATGCTAGCTAAAGATTTGAGCACTTCAGTGTGAAAATGTAAGCACTCCATGCCAGGCCAGCCCTGCTGTGACATCAGAAACCCCCCACCAAAGAAAAACCACCCCTGGAAAGTAGTCAAGAAAGGGAAACGCCTCCTTGAAAGAGCCTGAGAAAGACAATCCTGATTCAGCCCATGCTGAAACTATACCCGAACACCACCAGGAAGTCCCTTCTTTCAGGGTGCTCCACTGCCCGGCAAACCCAGACCTGCCTTTGCGGAAGCCAGATCTCTGGAAAAGGGGGCTTCCCTGCTCTGACTCTGCTGTCTGCCCGGATCCATCGGCAGGGAGGTCTTCCGACCCAGCCTAGCCAATGCAGATACAAAAGCTAGTAGCTGCACCACAAGCATACGTGCACACACACACACACCACATTTAATACATACGTACCTTTCACCCTCCATTGTGCGAGGCCCAGCCGGGGTGGTAGCCGCTGAACTGTGCATGCACCCGGAGATCGTAGCTCTGTTCTCGGTTCTCCCAGCCAACCAACAGGAGATCTGATCAGCAACAGTGATTCAGCATGGCTGCAAATGAAGCCTCCTCCCTCTCGATCCTCCTTCCTCTGACTTACTCCCAGCAGCTTCTACCGCAGAAGCGGCAGCAGCAGAAAATGTCTTACCCAGAGCTCCCTGCAGCCCTTTCAGCTGCTAAACGCAGCAACCCATTTGCTCCCCCTCCCCCGCAGGCTCGCTGCTGCTCCTCCGTCTCCTAGGAACAGCGCAGCTCCAGCGGCCCAAGTGCGGTGCCACCTTTCCAGCTGCCTCCACATCTGCCTAGGCATCCCCAGCTCTGGAGACTAGCTCACCCCGGGGGGCTCCCGCCTCCTGTGCCTACGCTGCAAAGGTTCAGGCAGTTCCTCACTAGCCCAAGAAACACTGGCCCCCGCCCTCCAACCCCACCCCTGCCCCCATAGGCTACAAATCCGTCAGCCCGGCCGGATTGCTGGAATGAGGAGGCCCCTCTGTGGCTTGCAGTGGAGTATATCCACCTGGGGAAATCAGCTTATAGGTCACAGCTCACGTTCTGATTCCTCCTCACAAAATCTACAGTAGCTCTGACAGTCGGACAGATGGAGAGAAATTAGGGGGGAAAGAGTCTGATAGCTCTGAGAACGTGGAGAGAAATTTTATAAAGGGAACAGTAGACATAGGTGAAATGGAAACCAACCCTATTTTGCCTCCAGGGGCCAAAGATGACTGCAGTGAAGCCATCAAAATGAACACTGCACATGTTGATTTCCCTACACGGTACTGAACGACCACAAATTTCATTGCACAACACTGAAGTATCTGCCCAAAGCACTGAAATTTAAATGAAACTGTGGCTCCAACTAGTCAGTCTCCCACTGAACCCCCATCTCCAGCCAAAGATCGCCTGTACCCTGTAATCTCCAGCTGCTGAGCTTCAATTTAGACTTTCTTAACTCTAAAACATCATCTTGGGAAGGCAGAAGGGCAGTCTGTGTCTCCTAGCCACAGTCAAGAGGCTTAATGGAAATTGAGGCAAATTGCCACTACTGATTGGTTAGCCACAGAAATGGGTTCAGAAGCTTCCTTAATGACTCAGAAAAATCATACATGAGCATCTCTATTGTCAAACCATCCAGGTCAAACCTAGGCTTTTCAGGATCTATGCTACCACTAGCTAGCTGAGCGACTTTCAGCCAAGTCTTCTTCCCACTTTGAACCTCAGATCCTCCTCCTCTATAACACAGGATCAGTCCAGGGTCCCTTTCAGCTCTAAAATCACACGATTCAAAAAATGCCTTAAATGTTCCATTTTGTTTGTTCATCTGTAAGACTGTTTAAGAAGAAATTTTTACTAGACTCTTAATATTTTGTAGAGGTCTTCAGGGAGGATAACATAATGTATGTGAAAGCAGGAGAGATGACTGTTTATTCTATGACTGTTAAAATTTCGACCTGTTGAATTTCTTCATTGCTACAAAGCCTTGAAACAGTGGAACGGGGGAAGGGGAGGCACATTGAGGTAACAGAAACTAGAAGTAACTTTTACAGACCCTGAATGGAAACTGGTAAGGTGTTATTCTCAAAGATTATCTCCCACGGACACCTCAGTGTCCTCTTAGATGAGGCCACTACCCCAACTCACTCTTTCTCAAACGAGATGCAGTCTGGGTTATTTTATTTACATCCTACAGCCCTAGATCACCAATTTTTCCTTTCACAATAACACCCCTCATATCTTTCTCCCTCTGTCCCTTCCTCCTCTAATCAGCCTTGTGGCTCGGCTCCAGATATTTCCTCTCGAGGTGAATCACAGGGACCAGGAGAAGCTAACACCACAAACAAGGAAACTGAATCCCAGAATCCGTGCCAGAGTGCAGACATCCACCAGGAAGACAACTGGGTGATTCATAAAAGGAGCATAAGAATAAGATAAGTCTTTCTTTTACACCTTTATACCCTTATTGACCATTTTCCCATACAGGAAAGGGGGGAAACGTCACATCTAATAAACCAGAGAGAAAAGAAAAAGGTCAGAAAAGGAAATACTTACAGCTGAGTATATACAGATTTCATTCCACAGTCAATATAAAAATTTTACAGCACTTCCTTCACAACCTACTTTTGCTGTGCTAACCCAATGTCACTACAATGTATGTGCTAAAACCATATTATTGCTACCTACACACTTTATTAACCATTCACTGTATCCACAGAGGTACAGAGAACATTCAGAGAAGGTCATCTAACAAAATCAGGAACAGAGCTGAGTCAAGAATCAAAGTCTCCAGATTCCTGGCACAAAGTTCCCACCCTAACCTTCTCTAATTTCAGAGCTACATTTTACATTTTCTACTTTATTATCCAAATGTTCTTTGGGCCACAGTCTGAAACTATTTGCTTTAGGCTAATTTTCCTGACTGAACTTCAGATTAAGAAGAGATGCTATTGGATTCTTGCAGCAGAGGAAAATCAAATGGAACCAAATTGGTGTCTGCCTGGTGGGGAAGAGGTCCCATCCTTGAACTGCACAGCAACAGTATCTTAGGCCCGCCTTCCCACACCCAAGGCTTCTCCACAGCTCACCAATTGTAGCTAGTGGCCCCAACTCTCCATCCAAAGCAATCTGCCCAGCCATCCACACCAAATTTGTACAGAATTCTTCAGCTTTATGTGGCTCAGGAAGAAACCATGTTAGGAAAAGACACTGTTTTTATTTAACTGCTTTTGGTCTAGAAAGTTCTTTTCTCCACACTCCATCTCTCCACAGGGAGCCAGTACAGCATAGCTTATCTGGAAACAGTAAAATCAACCATTCTTTCCAAGTATCTTTTTTCTTTTTTTCACTTTTATCTTCCTTCTCCAGGCATTCAGTTCCTCACATTTGCAGACACCATAACACAGTACAGTGGTCCGCCACCTGTGTGTCAGAACCATTGGCCTAGCTGGTTGAAACTGTACGAATCAGGTGGTCAAAAGGCACAATGAAACTTTTTAGGGTTATGGAAATGTTCTGTATCTTGACTGTGGTAATACTGAGACGATTGTATACAACTACTACATTACATCAAACTAAACACTTAAAATGGGTGCATTCTATTTTATGTAAGTTATACCTAAATAAATCTGGGAAAAAAACAAAAACACTACAGTGCCAGGCTCGACCTCACACCTATAGAATTGGGGTCCAAGAAGCAGGAATTTCAATGAACTTCATTGGAGATTCTAATGCATAGCTAAATGTAAAGACCACTAAGAACAAAAGAAAAGAGCTCAAACCATCAGAATGAGAAAGACCAGGATCCAAGCGTACTTAGCAGAAACATGACCCTTGGCAAATTACTTTATGTCTCAATTTTCTCATCTGCAGAAAGGAGATAATAGTACCTACTTCCTAGGACTGTGAGATTTCAATATAAAAGTCTATAAAGCACTTAGCATACAACCCTGCCTGCAATAAGGACCCAGTAACCATTAGATATTTTCATTGCCTATGCCAATGTTATCAAACTACAGTCCTTGGTTCTGAGGTCAAGAAGAAAGTCTGCCAAACTACCTTGTGCCAGAAGCACAGACCCAGGCCTCCCCTGGAGCCACTTCCACATCTCCCATGATCCCTGCTACCAACTGGCCACCAAGGACTAAGCAAAATCAGAGCTAAATTAAGGCCCACCCACATCTGTATCACCAGAATTTCCCCTTAGATTCTGGACCACCTGAGGGGTAGATTTCCCCTAGACGTGCTCTGACTGCCCCCGGAAATCAGGTAGAAACTGAAAAGGAACTTGAAGCCCACCTTATCCCAAGTAATACCTGGCCTCCCTCAGGATTCTTCCCCTGAGGGTGAAAGAACCCACCCATGTGCTGGGTGGTTTCAAGAATTTCATAACACATGGCACTTGTGTCACACTTTAAAGCTTACAATGCGCTTCATGTCCCTCATCTCCTTTAACTTAAGGTAACATTCCCTGGAAATTAACAGGTGCTCCCATCCCTGGCCATTTACTCTGGACGAGACTCTGTACTCAAGGCTTTACAGGTACCTTTCTCATATAATCATCATAACAAACCTGTGAGAATGGACTATTATCCCTGTATTAAATGTGAGATGTACACAAACACAACAGATTTTTGTAGACTGACTTCGCACCCTGCAACTTTACTGAATGTGTTTATTAATTCAAACAGGTTCTTGATGGAGATCTTTGTAGAGTTTTCTACATATAATACCATGTCATACCATGCAAATTGTGACAAGTTTTACCTTTTCCTTTCCAATTTAGATCCTTTTTATTTCTTTTCCTTGCCTAATTGCTCTGGCTAGGAGTTCCAGTACTATGCTGAATATAACTGGTGAAGTGGACATCCTTGTCTTGTTCCTGACCTTAGAGGAAAAGATTTCAGCTGTTCACCATTGAGTATGATGTTGACTGTGGTTTTGTCATATATGGCCTTTATCATGTTAAGGTACATTTCTTCTATATATAATCTGTGGAGAGTTTTTATTATAAATGGATGATGAATTCTGGCAAATGTTTTTTTTTTTTTGCTTCTACTGAGATAATCATATAATTTTTATCCTTCACTTTGTTGATGTGGTATATCACAGTGACTGATTTGCAGATGCTGAACGATTCTTGCAACCCTGGAATAAATCCCACTTGATCACAATGTATGATCCTTTTAATCTACTGTTTTTGACTACTTCAGTTTGCTTATATTTTGTTAAGAATTTTTGTATCTATGTTAATCAGAGATATTGGCCTATAATATTCTTGTGGCATCCTTGTCTGGTTTTAGTATTAGGATAATTGTGCCCTCATAAAGTGAGTTTGGAAGAGTTCCTTCCTCTGTTATAACTAATAAACAAATTTAGTAAAGTTGCAAAATAGAAAATCAATATACGAAAATCTACTGCATTCTATATACTAATAATGAACTATCAGAAAGAGAAATAAAAACACTATCCCATTTACAACTGCATCCAAAAAGAAATACTTAGGGAGAAATTAAACCAAGGAGGT